ACAAACATAAAATAGATACTACTTATACTACACTTTTCAGGGAAATGTTATTCCATAAATCGACCACCCACTTTACTTTACTTTACTACAATCCCTTAATATAAAGTTTTTAGTTAAAAAGTGATTAACTGAAAAAAAAACCGTAATAAGCGAACGGTGAATATGGCGACGTTACTGATCTACACACGACTTTTTTCTTTTCAACTCGAAGCATCGGATTATTCTTTACTAACTTTTTATTGGAACAAAAAAAAATGAAAAAACTATACGCTCTAGCCGCAATTCCAATGATCTATTGCCACATCCCATGATCTCTAATGAGACCAACTACCTGTAAAACTACTTTATGTTAATGATCGGCAGGTGGTCGATTTACATCATATTTGTATATTTGTGTGCGTGCCGACGAGCGTAGATACAAGTTGCTTACGCCTACATGAATTTGATTTTTGCCTGACTTGTGACAGTTCGTTTGGTATGAAACCATCATTCTATGCGTTATTATTCTAAGTGTCAACAGTAATGTTTCGATTTTGAAGGGACTTGTCAACTCGTGTCTCAGGGTAGTGCCCCTTAGATCATTGCAGTTTAAAGCTCTGAGTGACACTGTAACTGTTATGGACAGGCGTGTAGATTGCATAAATTGCTATTATGATATTGTAATTTCTGATAAATATCAACAGATCGTAGTCCAGCAATACACCATTCACCCAAGCAAAGTACTCAGAGTCAGAATTCTTCAAAGGACTCTGGCATCTCGGGCAGCACCAAAACCGACATAGACCTAATGAAAGGTATTTACAGCAATGATGAAGATGAAGAATTTGTTGATGCTGAAAATTACGAAATAAAAACAGTTGAAACTCCTCCACTGAAGCGGAAAGCGATCGTAAGAACAATTAACAACGATGCTAAGGTAAAGAAACAACTTCTACAACTCACCGTTAGTTCTAGCTCTTTACCTACTGCCTCTCAAGCTGAGGCCGTGGCGTGGGTGCCAATTTGCACTTCGTGGGTTTTATGAAAAAGTTACAATTATTTGTTAAATGACTTCACTAGTTTGTTATAATCTAAGGTAGGCAAAATGTGTTCCACGTATATAGATACATGTATATATTGTGGAACTGATGATTTATTGTTGGAAAGAGGGTACCTCTGCAGTGGTCCCTTTTCAATTTTAAGAAAATATACGCGCGTTTACGTCGCCGTAAACGTGCGTCACCTGCGCGTATACGCACCTCAGACGCACTGTGGTGAATCGATTCAAACGCGCGCAAAACATCGCGTTGAAAGCGTACTTCGGTACAAAAATTTATTCCGTAGGTAAAGGAAAAGAAAGGAAAGGTAAGGCTGTAACAAAAAAAGGTATATAAAAACACAGGTACAATAAATAAATAATAAATATAAATAACGCACACACTCAACATAGCCCCGCACTAGGGAAACCCTGTGTCGCGGGTGCCATGGACACACACATAGACAACCACAAATTACACCCAAACTCACGAGAGAAATAAATGTAGGCCATACAAATATTTCTCCCGGCCCGGGAATCGAACCCGGGGACCTCTGCGTGGCAGTCCGGTATGGTAACCGTTCGGCCACGGAGGCAGTTAAACAATACTACAAAACACTCCCTAACTTAATTACATGCGGATATGCTTGTGGATGCATATAAAGTAGACACTTACCCCAAAAGGGCCGAGTTAAAAAAAGTATAGATAATAGTATAAGTATAGATATAGCCAGGAACCAGAGAAAAGGTGATAAAAAGTTGGGATGACAATCAGGGTTCCCAATTTGTGGGGAATTCCCTAAATTGCGGGGAATTTCAACTAGATTGGGGATTTTGTGAGTATTGGCGCTATGTGGGGATTCTAACATTTTATGA